GTAACAAATCATAACGAAGTGACTATAACAGGGACCCATACTCACATGAGTGACGTAGATATTTATCTTGATACCATGATGTATAATTCGACAGAGACCCACCATGCTCCCAGTAAGCCACTCACCAGGGTGCCAGAAATGTGGGAGACCATTCGCCGAGTATTTGTGATAAAACATCTCAGTGATTGGTGACTTTGAGAACACACAAATGGCACTGCCAACAACACCACTGCATGCAAAGACAAATAGTACGAATGACTATTAAGCACATATTGCATATGGCCATAAGGGCATTAGTGTACGCACGTCTATGTCCCCGAAGGGAATGTGGGTGTAAAAAATACCTGCTATTTCACGAGGCCGCCGGCGTCATCCTAGACTGGCGCAGTCGGGCTATTAATTTGTTTTTGTAGTTTAAATAAAATGGAGGTGTTAGCGCGAAATCACCCGACTGGTTTATTCTACGGGAAATTCATTGCTATTAAATATTCATGAATGCACATATTATAATGAGGTGGGCGCGGAAATACGTGCATAATGAGTTCAACATGATAAAGGTCACACTGCCGACGTCTTCTCGGTCAGGGGTCAGTTGAAGAGACGTTGTGATTGGCTTAGATGATTGTCAATTAGAACACTCATTAACATAATTACCCGTTGAAAAATCGACGGGTTCCTGCAGTGTCGATAGAGGGCCATGCAGAATAAACCAGTCGGGGTGATTTCGCAGTTACAAGGGATTTTGCGCAAACACCTTCAAATCGCCCCGACTGCGCCAGTCTAGCGTCATCCCGGGTATACATACGATGGGCATATTATAGCTTACCTGTGGAACTGGTACGCGTATGGAAGACAATCTGATAGCATATCTTTCAACGATTTGAAGTCCTTAGAAGACCATACCTATAGGAATAGAGCGGAAAGTTCGATACAGGGCTTCCAGCAACATTTGTGCATGTATATAGGGGTCTTTTTACTTTGATAATTTATTTTGGACAAAAAAACGACCACTTTGATCCTACCAGTTGACATTTGCATAATATATGATTTGACGACACACTGACATCTAGCTTAGTATCCACCACGAAGTTTCTATATACATGTTTGTACGTATGATTATATCTTACAAGCAAACGTTAATATTGCATTCTGGGATCATTTATCTAGCTTTATTGGGTTATATGGATTAGTGAGTAAAATACCTGATGGTGCAAAAGCAGTGAGAAGTGTGAGTAAACGTTCAATTTTCAACGATTTTTATCAAATGCCGGTGATCGCTTCTGTTTCCCGTTATACTGTTTGTTTGAATTCGCTACCGTGTTTGAATTAGTATTTCGACACACGTAGATTCACAAAGATTTGCTTTACTTAATAATCCGAAGATGGCAATAACTTTAAGATAACAACATTGACGATCCATAAGTGTATCCCAATGCAAATCTCGGTAAGTTTGTTTTCGGAACATAATATTTGTACAGACGAACCCTGACTTCGGGAGAATACGATGTTGGGCCGTAGATTATTTAAACAATAATGAACGACCCGCCAACCCATAATGGGCGAAAGCTCACTTTGTGCGACATATATGTACGAGGCGTGAGGCGAGTACATATATGGAGTACAAAGTGTGCTTGAGTCAAAGTGTGAACTTGCGTAACACAAACATGCGACGCCAAATGACATCGCACAAAGAAGTCAATAAAAGTACACCATTTTCATATAGCAGGCAACAGAACTTATCATAGTATAGTATTTTATTAAACACTCACCAGCACGAAAACCGTGACAAAAATGATCTGATTGAAATTGTTTCCCGTGACTTCCCGAACATTTTCTTTAGGTCGAACGAGGACAAAATTTCTTGGTTAAATGACGTCACTGTATTAGAACTCCTATCCGATAGTTGAACAGCTGAAACGCCAGGAAATGATCGTCTGCTACTATCAGTATTTTGCTATGGACTTCGTGGTATTTGTTGCCTATTTTCCTGCATCCTACATGCATGGTAAAAGGCATTTATTTGTAATTTCTATGAAAAAATAACTGTACACGCATGAAGTAGACGATCGCGACGACGAGTAGTTTGCCTCACGGGAGTATCTAACAAGTTATTCGGAATACGTTCTCCAGTGACGTCATATTGTCCTCGTTCAACCTGCACAAAATGGCTGTCGCCGATCCACAGCTACTAAGTATACAGCACATGAACAATTACAATCTGCCCGAATGTCAAATTTTGATATTTGGTGGAGTGGTTTAGAAATTATGTACATTGTTGTACTAGTAGTCAGATGAATGTCACTGACCTCCTGTAAACACACGACGTCATAGTCACGTGTCGATATTTCTTCACCGATGTGTCTGATTCGTTCTTTACGCAGCTTACTGAGGAATGGAATAGCCCTGTACAAAACAAGCAATACCCTGTTAAAAGGCGGTGATCATCGTGCCACGCATGCGCGAGATATGGGTCTCATATGAACAAACGTGTTGACTTTGACTGCAGACCAACGAGTACTAATTAAGACATTACAAGGCTTTAATTAGGTAATTTTAAGGTAACTGGAAGGTATCTAAGGGGCCACTGGCGGTAATTAGTGCAAGTCGCGTGCAGGTCAAGACTCGTACTCGTGATTTCATTAGAAGAACGCATTGAATTGTTTGAAAATCAATGTTTATCAACATAAATGTCGCACATGCGCGGCGCAACGACCACCGCCCTTTAAGCATTGCAACATCAGTCTACAGGTTACATTACAAATTAAATTAGATTATATTGTGCAAGGTTGATTCACACTTTTTTTTTTATAAGTGTTTACAACTTTTTAATTTAATTCAATATAACTGAATTTAATTAAATTGCGTTGCCTTGTATTGATTTGCAGTGAAGTAAATTAGATAAGTGAACTCAGACTGAACTGTATATTTTTGGATTTGATTAATTTAAACTGGATTTGGTTGGATTGAGTTTGAATTGTATTTTATTCATTTGAATTGCACTGCATTAACTGAAATGTGTTTACAAGTTGAACAACACGTCTTGCATGAGTATTTTGTATGCAACAGCGTCTGTGTCACGTGACATCACTAATCATTACGTCATATGATTCATTATTCATGAAGACGTTCGATTCATACAAATACACGAGTAAACACAAACTAAAATTGTGACAAATGTATTTATAACTCGTGTTGTCCTTCGACCGGAATAATAAATTTATTTTCTAAATTGATACCATTTAATCCATTTATGTTGATATAGGCAAACAAATGTCAGTTGTACTGTCTCTAATACCCGACTATGAACTTATGACCTTTTCGTGCGAACGTCGTTTGTCTGTTCCGTGCCCAGGTTGTGTACAAGGGTCACTAAACATGACATCGATGTGATTCTTAGACCGTTTGCTTCGACAAATCATCACCAGGACGACATAAACTTAATACTCGTCAGTTATAATCCATATATCAGTCGTTTACTATAAATAGCGCACAGCACAGTACACTACAATCTCTATATCGCCCGCATCGTTGTTGAGTTTCCGTTTAATGGCGGACGGCGGTACGTAACATACTACTTTGCACCAAACATGCGTGTACTTACCAACAGTTCAGCGTCAACAACTTCAGTTTCACCGGCAAATCGGCAGCCATCCTAGCGCTATGGTGCGACATACCTAATGCACGTGACAGTCGTGTCTGACGTAGGCAGAGACTGGTTATCCGATACTGCCCTTGGCTATAGAAAGCTGTATATGTAGGGGTCACAGTCGGTCGACGAGGACTGCGTACGTCATTCTTTTGTGTCAATGCCCCATATCTATATTGGGCAAATAACAAAGAATTAGTTTCAATAACAAATAACAGAATTTACAAATATGGAATATTCATACATAGATATTATTAAAGCTGCTACCATATAACGCCATTTGAGATGTGGTTGCATTGTGCGGTAAAATGTGTTGAACAAATTGGTATACCCGGTACATGATTGAAATGAAAGCCAAGTGATACCCATGGTGAAATGCATTTGTAGGGTTTATTTCATGTTAGTCTCGATATCGTTCAATTACACTTACAATTTTCGACGATTTTTGATGAAATGCGACGAACATTTTGGAATTTTCTCTTTTCACATAAAACGTGGGGAATTTTAGTAGAAACATTTCATTCGCTTGGGCAGGCGACATTGGTTGTTACTAGTTAGTAACGTGATTATTTGGCCGTCATCGAAATGAATCATTGTTAAGTCAAACACTATTATGTACATTGTATTTGTATTTTCCTTCTTGTTGGTGGAGAACATTTTGGTTCGAATTTGTTAAAGCGAGGGAGTCGTCACATGCGCATGCATCAGATGGCCATTGCGTGTCATTGTTTACAAACAAACGTCTACCCATGAGCCTTTCCGTTTTTTGCGTGTGTTATTATCGTCGCTTGGGACTCAATTCCCGCGTGTGCGCAGGTAACGACCCTCCCGCTTTAATCATATTCTGATGACAGTCTTTGTTTTCACTTATATGACATTAGTTTCAAATTACGAGTCCTGAACAAATGAAATACGAATATGGAATCAAAGTTAAAGCAACATAGTGTTGCTATTAACGATCCTGTTCGATTCGAGTTCATACCTTTGAAACGAACTAATGTTTATGGTGTTATGATATAGAAGAGAATGGCACCACTCATATGCAACCGAGTCACTTTATGCCAAAAGATTCACCATTACTAAAACCATTAGTTATAGACAGATTGTGCCAAATATGCTAAAATATGCATACACGAACAAACGCACGAGTAGCACTACAATTGAACAAACAAAGGGGGTTTTCATTTGAAATCTTGAGAGGGCTGGGAGAATTTGTCATTTACAAATATGTCTCATGTGCCAGGCATTATTTATTTTTAACACCCTCTTAAATAATCTTCAAGTCCCCACTCCAATAAACGCAGTCACTTTAAAGAAGAAAATCATAATAAATGTAATAGATAAGTAATATTTACCAGATAATTTTTTTTTTTAAATTGTATTATAGATTGTATAGAAAAAAGTGTTCTAGATTGTACAGATCTGTTAAAGGACGGTGACGACCACCGCCCTTTAACATATTTTGATTGTCACTAACTGACACCCTGTGCCAGCAATGTACTTTCAGCAGGCAGACTCACCTGTAGACAGGCGTATGTTATTGTTATTTACTGAATATTCTGGGCTGATTATTATCAAACGTGCCAGACGGGAATGCGCACTGTTCTCATGCCACTAATCAACCAATGACCGTTCGTAGCCTGTTCAATTTAAATTCCTTGCAAAAACCAATGAAATGTTTTTAATATTTATTTTTCCAGGTACTCCCTGTTTGAGGGCGTGATCACCTGGGTCGAAGGTGAGACTAACACGTGGTCTTTTGTTTACTACTTAGCGGCTGTGTGTATTATTCTGTGTGTATTTGGATGTTCTAATTTTGGTGTTTATCCATTGGTTTCTCTAGGTGCAATCCAAATACAGTAGGTGTGTCTTGTTTACCTGAGATTTGCAAGAGTTTGAGCTGACCATGGAGCTGGCCCACATGTTTTTTTCATGTGGTTCATTACAGGCATGGTGATTTCCCATTTTAGAGCCATGTTTTAAACTTTGTTTATCATTTTCATAGAGCAATCTCGTCATATTTTAATATTGTCGTCTATGGAGTTTCAATTAGTGGTATGAGCCCTACTTAGAAAATGCTTTACGAACGGAAATCAACGTTTTATTAAAATTAGGTCAACTGAACGTTCAGATCTCAGCTCAGCAGAAGACTATCTGTACCCCCTAAGTTTATTAAAATAAGCGTATCAATCTAATCGCTGTTTTAAACTCATAGTTGCTGTCGACATAGGAAGTAAAGTAAGCAAATAACACCGAATAAACGGCAAGGTAAAGACTATGTCTAATTATAGTAAATTATTTAATCGCTGTTTTAGCTGTTCTTGCCATTTTAAGTTTATAACAATAACATTACTAGTCAAATCCGAGTAATATTATTGATACTAACAATTATATAGTTGCTAAACTTTAATAAACTGCGTAATAATTCGTTGTCTGTATTTTTGTATTCACACATAAGTAGTCTACAATGGCGTTGATGCTATCTTGGCTGCTGAAGTTGAGATTTTACGGCCTTGTCATCTCATGGTAAGTTAATGGGCATTTTATTAACTGACTTTGCAACAAAGTGTCATCTTCGCTAGCCAAGGTGTATTTCGCCTCACCACGACACCTTGGCAGAAGATGTATCCTCGGGGGCGGAGCTACGTCACGGACGTTCTACGTTGCTAAGACGCGCACCACTGTACCACGTATTTCTATGGGCTTTGTGCGCGCTGCTGT